CAACAGTTAAATTAGTTATAGTGATTTGTCCAGTTTTCTTATCAAGAGTTGTGATGCCTTTGAATCTCTGATTCGGGGTGTTAAAACCATCTTCATCCCATTCAATCGCTTTTACAACAGGTCCAATGCTGTTTCTGTGTTTCCATACAATGCTGCTGACAGGAGGATCTATTCTGGCTGGACGAAAAGACACTTTACCACCGACTTCGCCAAATACATTTTCCACTTCTTCACCTAATAAATAAAACATGAGAGAGTAGCAAATGAGAATCTGAAAAATTATATGTTACATGTATATGAATTATTATACATTTTGAGGCATGTCTTGTTAATTATATTTTTTAAATGAACATATTTGAATGACAATAGATTTATTGAAAAAAATATGTATCAAAATAAACAGAAAAGTTTACAAACATTGCTGAAGTGATTGTTTTGTACCAGAATAGGTTGATCACGTGATTCTGATGACCTGCAAAATGCAGCTGGAAGTGATTTTTCACTTCACTTCACGGAGCCCGATAATGCTCGTGTGTGCAAATGGTTAATATAAGATATAATCATATATTAAGATATTAATAAAGAAATATATAAATAGATACAGGGTGACAGTCAGAATTCACTGAATGCTAAACGCCACACATAGACACGATGTAAATAAGATATTATTTGCAGTTCTGAGAGCTTCATATCACGGAGTCGTGAGATTGCGATAAACTGAAGTGAGTGACTGCTTTTTAGTAGTGATGGAAAACCGAGGTTTTCTGAACCGTTTAAGGCTTTCATCAAATTGTGCCGAAAAACGGTTCATTACTCGAAGCTTTTTAACACAGTGCGCATTAGCGACATCTGGTGGTCAGACATGGTTTCTCCAGCCTATCTAACGAAACATCGCGGAGCAGAGGATGGGTTGAAAAAGTGAAACATCGCGGAGCAGAGGATGGTTTGAAAAAGTTTTTAATCTGTGCCAACTCATGTAATGCCTAATCCGGTCAACAGATTCACATATTGATCAATAATTTAAAATATACAAGTGTGTGATTATAATGAATAATTGACGTCAGTAGTAGCAAAAATATTTTGGGTGAGCTGTTCGGGGTCTCTGAGACCCCAGCTAGAACATGATAAAATGCAATACCCAACAAACACAGAACGTTCCCCTAACGTTAGTTTTTGGTTCCCGTTTGGTTATTTTTTTGGGGAACCAAATACTAACGTTAGGGGAACATTCTTTTTAGGTTATATTTTTTTGTAACCATAAAATAACGTTCCCAGAACGTTGCATGGTGGTTATTTTTAAAATAACCTAAAAAATAACTTATACAGAACGTTCCCTTATGGTTATTCTCAGGTTATTTTTATAACCCTGTAAAACTATCTTTACTGAAACCGTAAGATAGTGAAAACGTCGCAGATGTTAATGTGTAATGACCTATACAGAGCCCTGAAATTCGTTTAATGCAGCAAAATTAACGGTCATTTTTCGTTTTACTGGCTGATTGACTCGCTCGTTTATCGATCTCTTTATTGAATGATTGCTTAAAATGTATATATTTATGAGAGTAAATATGATTTCGGAGGGATTTAAAATGCCTAACTGAAGAGAACATGATGTTAAGCGAGAGGTTTTTGTTTACGGATCAAAAGAAGGTCCCGCTGCACAAACTGTACACTTCAGTGGTAAGAAATTAATGTACTGATATCCTACTTTAAGTCAAGTAATTTTTTATTCTTTTTTATACATATATCTGTGAATAAATGTCATATTTTATGAACCATACATTGTGTTGAAGTCATTTCTATTTGGTGCTGAAGAAATGTAAAATCTGGGTACTCCGTAATCTTACATATTAATGGACAGATTTAATCTTATTTAATCTTACATATGATGGTTGATGTGCTCAGATTATTACTTAAACAACAGATAAAAACAAGATGTGGTTTTTATCATACTGATTAGGCGTCCATACAGATAATTTCC